TTGAAATAGACATGATGTTGTATGGGATCATAAATACTTCAATTGTTGATATATGCATGATGTTGTATGGGATCATAAATACTTCATCTGTTGATATATGCATGATGTTGTATGGGATCATAAATACTTCATCTGTTGATATATGCATGATGTTGTATGGGATCATAAATACTTCAACTGTTGATATATGCATGATGTTGTATGGGATCATAAATACTTCAACTGTTGATATATGCATGATGTTGTATGGGATCATAAATACTTCAACTGTTGATATATGCATGATGTTGTATGGGATCATAAATACTTCATCTTTTGATATATGCTTGATGTTGTATGGGATCATAAATACTTCAACTGTTGATATATGCATGATGTTGTATGGGATCATAAATACTTCAACATGCGTCTTCACGGGAGCCAGACCACACGTCTGACAAATTTGAGCAGGACGTCACACGCCTAATCTTGGAGCAGGACGTCACACGTCACATCTTGGAGCAGGACGTCACAGGTCCCATCTTGGAGCAGGACGTCATTTAAAGGACGGTGACGTGTCCTTTATTCTTTACTCCCACACCCGATGGTTGAATGGGCGCAGATTGTGTGGTACTTACGGCACTCAGAGACCAGGGACTCCAAAGTCTGCAGGAAACCTCTTCTCCCCTGAATCAATGGTGGGTCGTCCTTCAAACTCATCATCCTTTAAAGGGTTAAGTGTAAAGTGTTAAGTGTTAAGTGTAAAGTGTTAAGTGTAAAGTGTTAAGTGTAAAGTGTTAGGTGTTAAGTGTTAAGTGTAAAGTGTTAAGTGTAAAGTGTTAAGTGTTAAGTGTTAAGTGTTAAGTGTTCAGTGTTAAGTGTAAAGTGTTAAGTGTAAAGTGTTAAGTGTTAAGTGTAAAGTGTTAAGTTTTAAACATATGAGCCAAAAACAACAGTGGACACTATGACATCCTGTTAGCTCAATACTGTCTGCCATTCAAGAATCATGTCTTTTTAACTTTTATCATTTTGTACGTATGCAAAAAAGTCCAATATTTGATACCACCCTCCCCCCCCCCCATTGCTCACGTACTTTTTGGACACCCCAGCCCCACCCCTAATACTTACAAGAAGATTTAGACCCACCCCCACCCCCCCAATCCCAAACACAAAAAGTCCCCACACCCAGGACATCAAATAATGTCTAGATCATTGTGACGTCACAGCAATAAGACACATGTCTCAAGAGTTTACACCGCTGATTGTTAGGCCAGCCCAGAGATTCCCAAACCATGAGCCGTGTCACCCTGGTTTACACCGCTGATTGTTAGGCCAGCCCAGAGATTCCCAAACCATGAGCCGTGTCACCCT